CAAGGAATGGAAGATTTGAAGCTCGAGGTAGCGGATTTGCGCCGGTCGAACGAGGATATGACCTCCGCCTTCAGAGACCTGAAGAGGAGTGTTGATGATATGGCCTCCCGTTTCCCTTATGGCCCGGGCGGGCCTAGCTCGTGATCCCTTTCCCTTTCCCTTTAGTTACCTCCCTCTCCTTACTATTGTAAGTCCTTGATGTATAAACATTGAGGACAATGTTTGATTCTAGCTTGGGGGGGGGGTCTTACTTGTATTCATTCTAAAACAAAAAAAAAAAATAAATAAATAAATAAAATTTACTGCTTTCCTAGACTAACCTTAACTTGTTTGCTAGTATGTCTTTCCTTTTTGCAGATTGGGAACATTCGAGACGCGGCATGAGTTTGAAGAACGATGCTATGGCCGTTAATTGGAGCTCCCGGGAAGCAAATTTGGTGAGATCTTTTCTTTTTTTTTGTGTGCTTAGGATAGTTTAGTTTAGGAAGAAGTTGAATGGTTTGAGGATGTTTGATCGGTTCTAAGGAACCTGGGATCGTTGATGTTGATATCATTCGATCACTTGTTTGTCGATTGGGATTTTATGTGATTTTTATGCCTCGTTATGTGCCTTTCAACTTATTCAGTTGGCTTAGTTGTACATATGTTTGTGTTAGATAGGAAAAGCTTCTGCTATGAGGATGTGTGGTTTAGCTTATATGATATGCCTCGTAGTCTTTTCCTATGTTTTTGGATCATAATAAACTTGTCTAATTGCAAAATTTTGGAATATTGTTCATGTTGGATTCGAAATGTGAATGAATGTGTATGGAATGTCTATTTCCACTTAAGCCAGTGATGAATACACAGTTCGAGTCTATTGTTGATCAATGTGGACGAGTCTAGGCGAAGGGTAGAAATAGAACACTTTTGTCATGTGAAACTCTATGCCTTTGGGCTGTGGTAAGATGGAGTCGCTTCCCGGTTGTGGATTTGACCCCCTTGATTGGTAGTTGCTTTATTTGTTAGATCCCGTGAGGTTTATTTGTTCTAGCCTTCATCATTCTTGTTGAGTGGCATATTTGGATCCTTGATTACGCATTTTTCGATCTTTGTGTTGACTAGTAGCTCCCGAGACCGACTTGACACTTTTAAGGGAGGAAGAGGGCACCTTTTTCATTTCTCTTATTTTGTTCCTTTTGTTTTTGTTACAAATTGATTTTCTTTTTACATCATCTTACTTGCTAACCATGTTGAGCTTTAATTCCATTCTTGGTTAACCGTGTTACAAACCCGATGGCCAATGTTTTACCAACCCTTAGTTGTGAAGCGTTTACCTAGATAGGTTTGTTGAGCTTATTGTTTACTAATCAAGAAATAAAGTTTGATAGTTGGTTTGAGCAGGTGTGAAAGTGAGCCTAATTGTAAATATGTAATGTGAAAGTCATTTTGCCATCAATAAAAAAAAAAGAAAAAAAAAAAAGAAGAAGAGAAAAGCCGTCCGAATTGTGAAAAAGGCAAGGACACATAAATAAAGTTTTGAAGTTTGAAAGAGATCATTTGAGTGTGTATTATATGGATAATTTGGGATGTGTAAGAATGTGAATCAATGAGATTGTGGAAAGTGAATTACATCTTTTGAACTATTGTTTTTGAGAATTGTGATTCTTGCGCTTCATTTAGGAATTAACCCCACTTTTTTAAATTGTTTTCACCTACCTTACCCATTGCCAATACATTACAACCCTTTTAAGACCCTTAGACTTTAGAGGTGTTCGGTTCTCAAACGGTGGAGGGAGATACCTTTCAACCCTATCGAAAGATTATGCGTAATCGAGATGTCGGGATACCTTTGTTATTTCCTCAAAACATCACTTCTTCCGGTTCCTTCGAGGAATCACGAGGGGCCAATTAGGGTGGTGATTTGAAGCAAAAGGGGAGGACGTGGCCGGTTTGGTCGGGTTTAGAGGGAAGCATGATTTCTTTGTTCTCTATGCTTGGTTTAGGTCTTGTTCGCATTTGATCAACGATATCTTGGATTGTGTGTCTCGTTGCTTGTTTGAGTGAGTTTTCCTTCCGTGCATGGTTGTTCTAAGTAGGATCCATTGATTTCATTCCGTGCTTAATTTGATTTGTTCGCAATGGCATAGTTTATTTGATCTTGTGTGTGTTTCCCTTGGTTTTTGCTCGAGGACTAGCAAAAGTGTAGCTTGGGGGGTTTTGACAAGCGCACTTTAGGGCGCGCTTTAGAGCATATTTTAGGATGATTTTGGATGTATTTGGGGCCGCTTTGGCCGATTATTACCTTGTTATGCTTACGTTCCCCATATTACGTGCTTCACGGGTTTTCGGTTTGTTTTTGATGTGTTTTCAGGTAATATCAACCGAGTTTAATCGGATCCCGAGCCCTTGATGCGTAACCGAGCTAGCCTTGACCGGAGTCCGAGGAGTTAAGGAAGTTCAAGTGCCGTGCATTGATTACATAGCACAGGCAGCACGACCGTGTTACCATAGGCACACTCGTGCTGGCCTATAAGCAAGCAACCCCAGGCAAGGCAGCACGGCCGTGCAAGCCAATAGCACGGCCGTGTCAGTATCCACGCACCCGCACGGCCGTGCAGGCCATTAGCACGGCCGTGCCAGATGTTGCACGTGCCCGTGTCAGCTTCAGTATGAGCCCCGTGCTAGAGCATATTCAGCACGGCCGTGCCATTTTTAGCACGGCCGTGCCAGGAAGCTGCACGGCCGTGCCATATATAGCACGGCCGTGCCAAATACAGCACGGCCGTGCTGATCCAGGGTTAACTGCGCGCTTGACTTCTCCGCATTAGAAGACGTATATAAGGCCCAACTTTAAGAGGATTCCTCAGACAGTTTTAGAGATAGTTTTGAGAGCCTTTGTAGAGAGTTATTGGAGAACGTTCTTAGTATTAGAGATTCATTAGTTTTCTTAGAGATATTTCTAGAGATTTTAGTTTTCTTGGATTGATTTGAAGCAAGATTTGCGAAGATTCTTTGTATTATTCATTGACGACGGATATCAAAGTTCTGAACTTTTCCATTGATTCGCATCAATACAATTGGTATTATTCATTCTTGTTTATTAATCAAGCTTTATTATTCCTTAATCAGAATTCATGTTTATATCTATTATGCTTTTGGAATTCATTATTGCTTTGATTATGAATATGTGTGAGTAGTCTCCTAGCTAGGGTTTCGGGATGAAACCCGACCTAGGTAATCTATGTAATTGAGGATTGATTTTGATAAACGGATTGTGATTAAATTGATTATATGCGATTGCATGTTAATTCATTATAATAGGAGTAGCTAACCTAGAATCTTGAATTTGATTGCATGATATCCTTGATTTGAACAAGAGATTGTGAATTGAGTATTTCATTATTGAATGTGGTTTGATTATGTATCGAGTAATGTTAAGTGCATGAGAAATCCAAGCTTAGTATTGCCCGTTGTCTTCCTATCACATGATATTGATCAGACATAAAGTCTTTGCATATCCCGTTTGTCTCTGTGATTCCTTGTTGCGTAGTTACCGATGGTTTGGTGAATTCCCGTTCTCCCTAGTGTCTTAGTTTATTGATTTATTCCATCTTATTAGTAGTATTTTAGAACACCATTTTCCATTGATTTCGAACTAGCTTAGGTTTAGGATTGATTTGCAATTACTCTCGTTCCTCGTGGACCGAACCTTTATTTGCCATTGTACTTGGTTATAGGGTGTTCGTATAAGTATTGTTTGATTGAGAGTTAGATTGTAGCGACCGATTTAACCCTTGTCAATAGAATATAGATGCACATGATGCTGCCATAGTCATCTCTAAGGTTGTTTGCTTCATTATCACATGTCAAGGTCTCACCTAGTGTTAGACCTGGCAAACGAGTCGTTTGGGTCGGGTTCGGGTCGGGTTAATTTCGGGTCAACATATGTTCGGGTCGGATCAATTCGGGTTTCGAGTCAAATTCGGGTCAACGTTTCGAGTCGAGTTCGAGTCGAGTCAAGTTCGAGACGTGTTTTTTCGGGTCGGGTCGATTCGGGTCAGTCAATTCGGGTTGGGTCAATATTCAGGTCAAGTTGTCGAGTAAATTTCGGGTCGAGTCAAGTTCGAGTCGGGTCAATTCGGGTTGGGTCAATTCGGGTCAAGTCAACTTCGGGTCTAGATGTTGGGTTAACTTTGGGTCGGGTCAAGTTCGATTCAGATCACTTCGGGTCGGGTCCGTTTTCAAGACCAACAATAATCAAGTGGGACTCTTTGTGAATTGCAAAATTACACATTACTCATACAGTTGTACCATTAATCCATTATTACATTAGAAACGTTTTTTGTACTATCTTCACAATTAAACTTAAGATTTGGTAAAAAAAAAATTGTCATTATGTGTATTAGAAGTATTATCATTCTTGTGTCTTGTTACATTAAATAATCAAGGAAACAAACAAACGCGTGTATAAATTATCGTAATATTATATGTGTAAATATTATGATATTTAATACTACAACCTTAGATGTTGTCTTATCTTCACAAATAATCAAATTGTACGATTATCTAAGATTATAAGAATCATAATTTAAAATTATAGGATAATACTATTCTTCCAATATACAAAGTATAAAACAAGAAGAGTTATTTATATCATTTTTCCTTAATTACTATTACTACTAGTAGTCTAATTGAGTAATAGGGGCAATATGAGTGAGCGTGTTCGTGAACTTTTTGTAACAAATTTGAATATTTGTTATAACATGCTTCGTTTTTATTATAAATTTATTGTTATGACTTATGGTCTCAAACAAGCCAATTTAAACTCTTTGTTTGTCTATTGATCATTACTCAATTATATCATTTACCACGTATATCAGTATATGTTAACAATATTACAAGTGTTAAGTGTACAACTAAACTAATATAACAAATTCATGGAATGTACTAATATAGTAGGAATAGTACGTCTAAGATATAGCGTTATTATCGCGTAGTATATTTACCAATTTTTATGTCTACTGTTTTGTGATCAAGCGCGGAGCACCGAAGGTTATTGGATAGTATGCACACTATTTTATATTTATATATAGTGAGATATTCGGATATAAATTTACAAAATTGCACTTGAAAAATTTAGAGGGAATTTTTCCTCCATAGACCATAATTAATTATTTTACTTGATTAAAAAGTACGCAGTAGAGGGTAAATCATCCCTCCGAAATAATTTTAGTTAAAAAAAAGTGGGAAATCTCACTCTTATTTTATTCCAATAGTAACTTTTTAATATTTAGAAAAAAAAAGAGTATTATTTTTTTTTTTTATTTTTATTTTTTTTTTTTTTTACAAAAAAAGGTGAGTAAACTCCATCTTCTCCATTCAAACAAACAAAAAGACCCAAAGCATGAAAAATAAGAACCCAAGAATTGGCTAGAACAACTGTTTTCACCCATTCTCTATCTTCTCTTCTTTCTTTTTTTTTTTTTTTCGATATACTCCATCTTCTCTTCAGATCTTAGTTCTCCTTCGTCACTGGATTTGCTCGACCGCTCAAGCATCTACTCCATTCTTTGTCTTATCAACTCAAGTGGGAAATGTTAGGTAATTGTGTATTTCTTTGATTCTTTTGCTTAATTGGTTAGAACTTACAAAAATGAGGAATGAATTTGAATAATTGCATATAGATATATAATGGATTAATGTGGAAAAACTAATATTTCTTTTAGTTTTGTTAAAAGGGGGGAAACAGATTGCTTTGGGATTACATGTTCAATTCGTTTATATGCTATGGATAGTAATGTTGCTCTGGGATTACGTGCCCAATTTACACTGGTAGTTTCTTAGAATTTTTCTTTCTCGAAGCCGAAACTTGAATATGATGACCAGATTTACATCCAACCAAAAGATATAACCCATTTATTATAAAGTTTTAGTAGCCTATGGTCATGTGCCAAGAATAATTATAAATTTACAATTTAGTCAGTTACAAATTAATAATTTCGTACAAACTTTAATGATGGTGACTTAAGTAGAGCACAACTCAGCCATCCACATGATTGGCATACAATGACGACTTTGCTCCTTGCGATGTTGCAAGCGCTTATGAAGAGGATATTAAGGCCAGCTCTGCTTGATTACATTAGAGGATGGCTAATGCTATCAGTTTTTCTAGCTTGGCTAATGCTCTCTGATTTGTATTGTTTTACTTTTGATTTGTATTATCTAATGCTATATGATTTGTATGGGCAGGAGAAGTTATTGGTTTACTTTTGGTACAATGCTCCTTAGAGCTTTTATTTAAGTAATTTTAATCTTTTCCCTTAATAAAAATATTCAATTTCGGAAAACAGTGGCAATATGTATAATTACGTAGTATAATGTATGTAATAAATTACATCATTTTACATAGAAATAAAAAAAATTTATAACTAATTAGTCCTAAATTAGTTAGATAATTTTAAGTACCAATTATTTTTGGTTCGAGTCATTTTGGCCTTCGAGTATAAGGTAATTATAGTTCGAGTCACTTCGGGTTTCGGGTCTGTCCAGGTCAATCACATCGGGTCGGGTCACTTCCGGTTTTGGGTCAGTTCGGGTCAGGTCAATTCGGGTCGGATCACTTCGGGTTTCGGGTCAGTTCGGGTAAATCAATTCAGGTTAAAATCGGATCGGGTCACTTTGGGTGTTGGGTCAAGTTCGGGTTTCGGGTCGGGTCATTTCGGGCATCGGGTCAAATTCTAGTCAACTCCATTTCGGGTCGGGTTCGGGTCGAGTCGGGTTAGTTCGGCTTCGGTTCATTTTCAGGTCAATGATTTCGGGTCAACTTTCGGGTAGCGGGTCAAGTCATTCGGGTCGGGTTAGGATTGCCAAGTCTACCTAGTGTTATAAATACCTATTGAGATTTTGTACTTTCTTTAGCTGATAGTAGTCAAAATAAGATAAGATTGATAGCACATTGGCAAACATTTGTTGTTTATTTTGTAAAAATTGCTTGCATGATTTTGCTTCTGATATATTAATTAAGTAGTGTAATAGAAGTGATACTTTATTTGGTAACACTATAAAGAACAAATGGATTGTATTAATAAGGCTGTTTTCAAACTTGGTTAATTTACCATTATTATTGTTGTTGCTGAAATGTGGAAAAGGTTGTCTTAAATGTTTAAAGGCAAAGGTTATTGGAATCTTAGATATCAGTTGTATTATCAAGGTCAATTGTCAAAGTCTTACTCTTTGATGTATGTGCTTTTATGTTTTTCTAAGTCAATTGTAATTAATTTTGTAGTTGTTTCAAAGTCTTTTGTTTGTCTATATATAACATCTTTTTGTTAAGGCAGTGACTACATTGAAATTTTTTGTTCTGTTAAATTTCATTTCTTATTGCTTTCACAATTAGTTGTTTTGATAAGGAATTTTATGGTTGATTTTCCAACTACATTTACTGTTCGATATGAAAATGATAATGAGCAACATGAAAAGTTAGAATGTTTTTTTGCTGTGTTATTGATGTTATTGTGTCTTCAGCAATTTTTAGGATATTGAGTGTGCTTGTCTATTAGATTTATAATATAATTTAGATTGTCTTTTTAACTTGTGATTTAAAATGTATGATCAGCGTATTCCTGCTTGCTTCAAAGATGTGTTGGATGATGGATTTATGAATATTGAATTGTCTTTGCGTGGTGGTGATAAATCTTGGTTTGTTACTTTAGTACATGAAGAATGTGCCAATGGATGGGGAACATACTTTGATGCAGGGTGGTCAGATTTTGTGGAAGATAATGGTTTAGATGTTAGTGAACGCTTTAATATTTATGTATTTAGGAGATAGTTCATTCTCTGTTGTGATTCATGCTGCTAGGAGAAGTAAGAAGGCAATAGGAGCAGGATAGAATAAGGATAGTGGTAGTTCTGGAAAAAGGCGTGGACGTAAGCTTGCTATTCAAGGGCTCTCGCCGAAAATGAAAGAGACCAACTCTGGGTTTGTTGAGCTTGCGGCTTCTTACCGTGAAGATTATTTCCTGTTTTCTTTTACTAAAGCTTATATCAATCAAGGAATAACAGTATGTTTGTCATTTTCTTTTCTGTCTTTTTGTCTTTTGTTTTTTAACTTGCTTTTCTATGTATTAATTTTTTTTTTGTTTTGATGATTTTCTTATGGCCGAATGCCCCTCTGTATTTTGCTAAAAAGCATTTCAATGGTTTTCCTGAGTTAACCGATGTAATTCTTCAGAATTTTGATACACAGTTTGAAGTGCGGCTGAAAATTGTGAAGAAGTATAATGCGATCACTCAGTGTACTATTAGGAATGGTGTTAAAGAATTCGTTGACCGTTACAATGTCCAAGTAGATGAAGGTGCTTTGCTTAAATTTAGAAAAGGAGATCCCATTATTTTTGATGTTGATTTAGCCTTAGTGTAAAATTTAGAAATGGTTGTCCTATTTAGGAGTTTGTGTTAGTAGGACTATATTTCTAGTTTTCTAGTAATGTCTTTGTGAAGGGACTAATAAGAGCAGTGCTAAATTTATATTTAGGAGTTGGTTTAAGATTGATGTCTTTTGAATTTGTATCTCAGCTTGTTTAATTAAGCATTTGGATATGTAAGTTTATTTTTGGTTAGTGTTAAATTGAATGTTTCCTTTAATCTTAAAGCATCGTAATTAGATACATGATTTGGCTAAGAAGCCTAATTTAATTTTCAGTAACCAAGTTTCAAACCGTAAGTGTAGATGATCTTGACAAACCATAAACTAATTGTAAATATTAACCACCAAAAAATATGTAAAATTCATTGTAGCAGAAATACAAAAACATATCAAACCTTGTTGATATATTTCTTTTCATAAAAGAGTTTAATTTATAAGAATAACAAAACAATCATCCTCATGAAAGTGAATTTGATCTTGGTTAAGAATATAGATCCACATGAAGAAAGTGTGTTCGATCTTATTTATATATGCATGTTTGATGAATTATGTGTAGATGTTAAAGATCTTTCAGCAAGGAGTAAAAAACCCATGTCTCAAATGAGTGACACTTGCAGTGTGCTTCTTTTTTCATATTTGCTTTGCCTTAGAAGCGCATTGCAAGTGTCACTCATTGAATCATGGAGATTTTCCTCAAAACTCCATGTTTGATGAAATTTGCATAGAAGCTAAAGATATTTCAGCTAGGAGTAAAGTGTTTTTTATGAGTATAAAGTTGTGTTCTTTAGGAATGAGTTTTTCTTTCTCCATTTTTTTTTTTTTTTTTTTTTTTTAAATGGAGTTTATACCCTCATTTAAGCTTTTATACAGATTTAAAGCTATAAGTTAAATCGCTAAAAAGATAAGTTACGTTGAAAATAATGCTTGATTATTTATTATAGTAGATTTTGACTTTTTAAATTGGTCAAGTGTTATTGTTAGTGAAAATAGGATAGATTTGTTTTTGAAAGACTGAATTGAGAGTCAAATTAGGATAAAACTGTTTCAGTCAAAGTGGATTGAAGAATACTATGACCTTTAATCCTATTTATAGTTTGATTTAATTAGGTCAAACATGTCTGTACATAATTAAGACACTTTGACAATGTAGTTAATGCTTGTTGTTAGTGGAATTTGATTCTGTATAAATACAGGTGCTTTTTTTAACATAAGTTATTTCTCATACTTTGTTAGTTCTAAAGATGTATAGAAGCTTTCCAAGTCATGTTGTTGTTTTTGGAGATGATTGTAGACACAAGCTGGTAAGTTATTTGCTTATTTACTTTGTTAGTCCCAAAGACTTGTAGCATGTTTTTTGTGTTTGGAAATAACTCTATGAATATTATTGTAGGTGTTTCCAGAGGATTGGACTGCCTTGTTGACTGGAGTTTGTAGTCCTGTGGAGGTTCTTCGAGGTCCTAATAGCCGTATATGGCCTATGCAGCTGGTGAAGGTTACTGAAGATACAAGAACTAATATGTGTCTTGATATTGGTTGGGAAAGTTTTGTTATTGAAAATTACCTGGTTGATGGTGAAATAATGATTATCTATTATGCTGGTAATAGGGAATTCTATGTCAGAATTTTTTCTTCTTTTATGATTGAAAGGCGAGCTAGAATTGAACCTATTCAAAGGGACGAGAATATGTAAACCTATGTAATCTAATATTTGGAATTTATAAATAAAGCATTGATATTGTCTCCTGAGTTGAAGTGATTGAACATCTTTTTTAAATTAAGTTATTCAAAGAAATATGTATGCAAATGATTGTATATATGAACTAAATAATTCTGTGATGGAGATTACAAATTTTGGAGATCATGATTAGATAATAGATATTATTATATTCACATAAGAAACTGAGGGTACATTTCCTTACAAGAGCAAGCCATTTTCTGAAGGTACTTTAGAATATAGCTTAAAGTTTCCTATTACATACTTGTTTAGCTGCTTACTTCTTCCTACAGACTTAGCATCCAAAAGCACTACTTGTTCACTTGACTTCCTAGCCGATAGCAAAAAATTTAAGTACAAAGTTAATGCCGATACTTAAATAAGTGGTGTTAATCAGGAAGAGGTAATTATAGTAATCTTGTTCCTAATCAAAGCCACTGATTACAGAATATTTAAAGTAGAATTCAAAGTTTATATAGATTCTAAGTTGTTGTTGAAGTTGCTTTCCATGTGATCTGTTGGAGCTACGATCTTCTATTCCCCTTGACCTTTTTATTCATCATCATGAAATTGGAGTGACCGATGCGTGCTCATTTTTTCCTACTTGATTGTTTGGAGCATAGTTCCTCCATGTGGTTGCTCCTCAAGCCTTCTTGCCTTACCTTTGATAGCATTAAGAGCAGTCTGCTGTGATTCCTTTTCAGTGGTGATAATTAACTTGTTGGATGCATTCTGGACTGGAAGATCTATGACATCCTTGGATGGTGTTTTGATATCTGTTTCTGACTCAGCATTATCCCTTTTTCCTCTTGTGGCCACGATCTTCTATATTGTTTTGGGAAGTTTCATTTTCTGCAACCATTTTTTCAGCTATCACACATGCATCTTCTTCCTCTTGGCTTAAGTTTGCAAGGTCGATGTTTTCTAGTGTCTATTTCTTAATCATCTTGCATAAATCTACCTTTGGTTTCTCTGGAGTTTGACCAATAACTTCAGCATCAGCAGTTTCTATGTTGATGGATCTCGCTGCATCATGACTTCTAGATCCCGACTCAGCATTTGTTGAGCTACTCCGAGGAGTGGTAGCTGTCAGCGTGTTTGCCAATTTTACATCCCTGAAGCCCCATAGTAAGACTTTGTTCTTTGTGAGTGCAATTTAGGTCCAATCTTGATAAAAAATGTGTTGTGGCTAGCCTAAAAGCTATCTCATTGAATCTGTGTGTATGTTCCTAATCACATATTCAATAAATAATAAGTGAAGAAACCAATAAGCAAAAGTAATAATAATTGATGTAAGCAGTAAGTTAATTGAAGAAACCAGATCTAGTAGAGTTAATTGTGCATTCTTTTGGTAGAAATCAATTAGGTGCTATATCTTATTAATGTACCTTTTTCCCTTTGAGATGGCCTATAGTTGTTAGAGTTCTTTCTGCTGAAGGATTACAAGCAGTATTCAGTCGTCTCTGCTGATCAATTAGCATAGCTCGATGTTTCTTTGCCCTTTATTGTACTCGTTAAAAAAAAAAAGGAAATATAAGAATCTAATGACACTTTAAATGAATATCTATACATTTTAAAATAAATAATTCAAAACAATTTGAGATATTATACTATTCATGTAGCTGTTGCTTTTTCATCTTCAAGATCTTCGATTATGAAAGTAGACATGGTTGATTCAAGCGCAAACCCTACAAATTGTAAAATATCAATACCTGTGTTCTTATATTTATAGTTCATAAATGTGCTACATTATAGGGTTAGTGAATGAATAGAGTTTATGTCATACCTTGGCGAGTGATAGGACGCAAAGTTGTGAAGCCAACTACTTTAGACTTGCTGTCTGAAACAAGCGTGTCACATTGATCTCCAGACAGATCATTCCAAGTAGACACTTTCATCGGTTGATCAGTACTGTAGTTAGAATATTAATAATAATTAGTGTGTTTTGATGAAATGAAAACCATTTATTGCAATTAGTTTAGCTAGATTGTAACAACTACTTTCGGTGATCAATCACCATTAGATCTCGAACAGATGCTTCTTCTATGACAAAAGAAACGAAGTTAATGTATGTATTCTTTATTAGGTATAGTTTATATATGTTTAAACGGAAGATAAACTCTGCATGTTGGTAGTTTAATTGAACTGTTTACCATGTCTCACATCATCAATAGGAACTATTGGGATAGATGCAAGAGATTGATATCTAGGATAAACTGATTCTCCCTTAGGGTCAATAGATTGAATGAGAGTTTAACTTCACAATGCCATTTGAAATGGAAGGTCATCTTCCCTACCTCTCCACTGTAAATCCAAAGTTCTTACTACAGCATCAGCCATTTCATAGTTGCCTCTAAAGCTGATAACATTCCAATATGCTTCAATTTGATTGCCAAAAAGTGTCATTTTAATCCGGTTTTTCTGTCAACAGCAATTATTACAAAAACATATCACAATATTGTTCTAATTTTGTGATTTATGATAGGGAAGATAAGCGCGTAATGATTAGAGTTATTGTACCTTGTCATCTTCCAAGATAATATACTGATAGCGTACATTTTTTTCAGATTTCTGAGGACGACCTTTTTCTACAACCCTTACTTTAACCTTATAGCATCTGCTTACTGTATCAAGTTCATCTAGGTATTTTCGTAAAGGTGCCATGGAGATGCCCTGACTAAGGCATGATTCAACATAGTTTAACAAATTATCGTACATAGTTTATATCTACATTTGATAAACATAAATTCTACTCATTTAACTATGGAAAAGGCAATAATTAATTTCACAGTAGATGACATAATCATCTTGCAACCAGATTTAAATTTATATGGAAGTAATCTATACAAATAAGCGTAGGTAGCAACAACAAGAATCCACTAATGATGGAGCACATTAAGTCAATATGGTGGCAATGAAGGAACTAAATAACATGCATGCCTAATCAAGTATATACATATTACTTTCAAATGAAGAATAATTCTATTTCCTGAATATTTTCACTTTATAATCGAGATCTTGGATTCAAATAAGAAATTTACAATATTATATTGATATGGTAACAATGAATACACTAAAATCCATGCATGTCTTATGAAATGTACAAATATTATTCTGATTCAAGCAAAAAGGTATTTTTATTTTTATTTTTTTTAATTTTTTTTCTTCAAATTTTCACTTTAGAGTTTATATATAAATTCAAACATATACAGTTTGAGATTCTGATCTAACTAATTTCACAATTTTCAGGATTTTAGAATGTGCTAACATTTGATGATATAAGCCCCCCCCCCTTTTTTTTCCTTTAGCATGTTTCAAAATAGTCTTTGATTGAGTTGAAAGCAGCAACAATTATACATGCATCATATAGGAATTCTTAATGTTATCATATTGTACTCTATATGATGCAATTTCTCACTAATTGCAATTAATTGAACTTATAACATTGCTTGAAATCTTAAACCTACTCTATAATCAATAGTAGCAATATATGCACAACTTTTAAATTCAACTACAAATTTGTATAATGCAATTCATGTGTAATTGATACCTGTGAAAGAGAATCGAATGCTTGGTGTAGCCTCTGCTGCAAATTTGTTTATTCTGAATGCTTTGTTTGTTTTTTTTTTTTTTTTTTTTTTTTTTTTTTTTTGTTTCAATTTTTTGGAATGAGAATAATGCTCAAGCTTAACAAAGCTTTTATAGTAAGGGTGTAATGTTAATTTATTTCCATTTTTTTAAAGGAATAGAATTGCATGCAAAAGACTGTAGACTGGAACAGTAAGTTGGATTTTGATCTAAAGGAAATGCACACATGCAATTTATGTAGCATGCAACAGTAATTTACCACCTTGTTTTGCATAAATCAAGGAAACCAAATCTTTTTTGTAGATAACATGTCTAAACATTACCTTTTGCAACTACTCTATTAAGCAAATGAGGACTTGGTATTCTGCTCACAAACTACATTACAAAGATTTAATTTTCCAAAAGCAAAAGAACTTGTCATTTTAATTTTTTTTTTTTTTTTTTTTTCCCCGCTTTTCCTATTTCTAGGGGGAAGAAAGGTCTAGCTAACTTTAGGTATTCTATTTAGTCTAATAATAATTATGTATGATCTTAAGTTGCTAATTGGAGTTCTCAAAAGTAAAATGAAAGATTTATCTTAATTAGTCTTCTTCACTTGCACTGATAAGTTATGTTCCATGCTGCTGCATCATTGTAGGAAAATAAACCATTAATTATATCATCAAACTAAATTAAACTTTTAATCACAAAGTTTCTTTGGATAGCCGTACTTACAATAACCAGAATTCTCTTTATACTTCATGCAAGGACATTCTGGATTCAGATGACCACAAGGACCATGCATCATATGTTTAACCACTTTTTCCTTAGATATGCATCTTCAACAGGTGGTATTTCAGCACTCACATGAAAGAAATGGTGTCTTTCGAACAAGTGTATTATTCTGATAGAGGGTTCGGAATTATTAGAAAGCTAATTATTCAGTGAGGTCAAGTGATCAGAACCTGAAAGCCACTTACGATTAGTAATATTAATGCATAATTAATATTACAGCTTAATCTTGACTGAACCCTTCGGGTCACACCCAATCAAGTAACCATACCGAAACGACGAATTAATCCGAAGGATTAAATGAATCATTAGAGTATTACGAACATAAACGTCGGATTCCGAGCTTAGAGTGTCGGAAACCAAGTGTCATAAGTCGAGTCAAATTTAGGAATCGACGAGATGAGAAATTAAGCAAACAACAAGTCATCGCACGAGAAAATCCTAGCCTCGAAGTGGACTAACCAATCGAGGGCTAGGATGGCTAGCATGGCTAGCCAGAGCCATTGCCGCAAGGCAAGGCTCGGCTGTAAGCTTAGCATGCCTAGCATGGCCGAGCATGCTGGCCGAGCCAGCTATGCATGCAAGGCAGGGCCTACAAGGGGGCCAGTCGCACATGC